AGTAAAAGATTTATTTCCAATTTGAAATAATGTGTACGGCGTTAAATTTTATTGTTACAAGTAGAATAAATATTTTTGTAAAGAGAAAATTGCATGGATCTGATTTATGTCCAAACAACAATATGCGTTCTGGCTGTCGCCCATTCAATGCACAGCGGTGCCAACCATCTTGAAATCGCTGCATAGAAATGTTTGACTAGGACAATGATGAATATTAAATGTTTTATTGTCTGTATTCATTTCTGAATATATGATTTATCATTTCAACAATGAACTATTACCATGTTTTGATATATTTTATAAAGTGGCAATAAAACTTGCTTCTGAAGTGTTGCAATTAGGAAATCTTTAGTGTTAATAATACTGATCTTTTGAAACTTTCCAGTAAAGTTTTGTGGCTTTTCTTTCGTGGTTTTTCATCAAAAAGAGCTTTTGTCAAGATTGTATTTTACTACAGCACGTTTGTTATTTATTATAATATGTTTACAATTTATCACTGGTTATTCATTACATACTTCAAATTGACAATAAATCTATATTGAAAATTGCTGAATTTTACAGCAACCATACAAAATAGCAGTATTTTGCACCCGATATGTTCATATGAATAAAAGGCGATGTGATGAATACTCCAAAGAGTTAGCAACCCCATGACAAAATAACTATAAAGGACATCTATAGTACAACATAAAGTCTTGAATATTAGACAATTGTCTATACAATTTGTCAAGCTCTATAAATTCGTCCCGAGACTGAAAAAGTTGTGAATAAATTAAACAGAAACAATCAAAGATCTACCGTTTACACCAAATTATTCAAACAACACAAAAAACATTGAAATATAATAAGAAAAAACAAGACTAACGGGTTAAACTAGGTGTTTTTACATCTCAACGCTTCCCCCTTTAATCTCGACCAGTAAATTAGAAAATCGTACATAAAGAACAAAAAATGGCTGATAAGCACTATAGTTTATTATTTTTTATGATTAAAAAAAGAATATTTAACTATAACTATCAAAGATGAGTACGACTATCTCCATCTCGGATATTAAACTAGATGCCTTAAATGCACAACATGAAAGATTGTCTATAACAAATCAATGTAAATAGTGTTTCTTCTGAAACAAATGATAAGGCTTTAGGTCCTTAAATTCCTGATTTGCTACTAATTGCACTGACACAAACATTTTTAGGTAAAATCGCTACGGAAAATAAACATAGAGATAAGAAGATGGGCCTTATATCTTAAAAATTTTGGTTTTTGTTTCTTCAATTGGCATTTACAGACGACACAAAATAAGGATCTACGACCAGTGCAATTGTTTCAGATTTCCTATTGTCAACTTTCAGCAAGTCATCATCTTGACAATATCATATTTGCCTTAGCCTATGTCTTTATGAAATAGGGATATGTGGTATGATTTCCAGTTAGACAACTATCAACTTGAGTCTAAAATAACGTTAAGCAACAATGAGCAAAACCTATACTATAAATTATGCTATAACAGGCCCCGACATGACGAAATGTGTAACAATTCAAACGAAAAAGCAACGGCCTCATTTATGACAAAACAATACATGAAACTGTAAAAAATCAAATAGAAATGGCTTGACTCATCAGATTGGCACGAAACACAAAAAGTAACTAGCAAAAAGACAAAAAAACACAAAGTGCTGATCTAAGAGTACTCGCACTTAAAATTACTGAAAGCTAGCTTGCCTTGCATGATTTTTGCTGAACAGTATGCTTTAGTTGCTTAAATACTTTTATATCAGAAGCGTGATTTTATTTCTTTTTCTTTTTGTAGGCTCAGTGTCTTCGCCTAATCAGTGTTTTTTTATTTTATTTCCTGGGTTATCCGTGGGTTTTTAATTGTCCTTGGTCTTACATATTTTGGAAGGTATGTATGTTGGTTTATACTGCTTTCAGGGCCTTCTTTGAACATATTCCAGAATTCATTTACGTATGTCTTTTTCTTCAGGCTTTCTCGTTTCAGTTTATTGTATAGCAAATATATATCTTCTTGTATGCTGTCCCATTTTGCTGCTCTGTACTGTGGAAAGTTTCTTTTTTTGTGTGTGTTTGTTATTTGATTGGCGTTCATATCTGCATATACAATATCATGGTCTAAAATTCTTGGCATAACATCTGTTCTCCTCATTTTACTTGGATAGCATGTTTTATGTAAATCCAGTAATCTTTTATTTCTATAGTTGTCTCTTACATGGACTAATTGAGTAAGTCAATTCTCATCAAGAATATATGTAAGCTGGAAGTGTTGTTTCTCATGTTGTGAATCATTTCGTATGCTTTTGTTTGACCAATGCCATCCTGGTAGGTTGAATCTACCCCGATCAAAAAGTTTGCAATACTAAGTATTTTGTGATACTGTATACATAGTTGTTTCAAATTTAGAGGAGTTCTCTTTATTAGATATATTAGGATAATTGTTTGGTTATGCGTAATCTATTGTGCCTTTGTGTTTTTATATCCGCATTATTTTGCAGTTCGTGTCAGTTCTGGAACATTAGATATTGATACCTTTCTAAAAGAACCCCACCTTCAGTTCTTTTCCACTTTCTATCCTTCTGGTAAGTGTTGTAATCTGGTGGTAATTTTTGACTGTTTATTGTTGATTATTCTTACCAAGTTACTTTCATAATCATTACATCTGGTTCTGAACTATCAATGAGGTATTGGACTAAGTGTTGTTAATTTCTTATGACGCTGTTAACGTTTAGGATATTTAGTGGTATAATTTTTTTTTTTCTGGATTTTTTCATTTTGTAGTTGATAAGTGTTTCCGTTTTACATTTTCTTGCTGAGATCCTGTAATGATGTCTAGTTTACCGTTTACTTGTTCTAGCAGTGAGGTAAAATTGTTATTGATTGGAATAGCTGTATAACCATGGCATAAGAAATTGTAGCTTGAGTTTTTTTCACATATAATACAATCACATCTTACTGAGATGATTCTTTCACACACAAGGTAGCTGTAATATTTGTTGTGAATGTCTAGACATGCAGTTGATATGAAACCTTTGGTCACAATATATAAATAACACATAGCTGAGAGGGTGATAGAGAAGATGGTTACCCCGAGAAAACATTGTCAACCGAGGGTAAGCCAAGCTTGACAATGTTTTTCGATGGTTAGCAATCTGCTCTATCACCCTCTCAGCTATGTGTTATTTAATTTGTTATACTGAGTGTAATATCATTATTGACGTTTGACTTTCAAATTGAAAGTATTATGGGATAGAGTAAATTGTTTCCCTTCGTATTAGCCAATCAAAAGCTGGCATTTTAATGTGAAGTATAATAATAGCTGTTACCTCCCAAATCATAGTTTGATCCCATGTCATCTTCCGCTCAGGAATATGGTGCTATCAGTATGTGTCAGTCCTGGTTAAGAATATACATCTTCTGCGTTTGCTAAAAGTATAAGCAGTAGATATGATGTTACAGATTAATATAGTCATACATATAAGGTCTTGGTGATTTTTGCCGATTTATTATTGTTAACTAGCTGTTACCCGTTATATCCTGTTTTATTTAAAATTTTTCAACTTCAAATTTTGTCAAATCTGCATTTTCCTTGCTCATTATGGTATTTGCAATGATAATAGTGATTGTAATAAACCGTATTTTGGGAGTTTGACTAGTACGAAATGCTGATAGTATTTGGTGAATATATTCTACAGGACTTGTTTTTTTAGTAGGTACCCGGTATCAGACTCATTGTATTATCATGATGTAGGGGGACGATGTAGTAAAGACTGATACGATAAAGTTCGGATAATTAAACTCATCTAAACCCTTTACTATAGTATATGTTTATCCAGGGGTGCTGATTGCTCTGTTTTTTTTTCTAGTAGTAATTTGACAAGACTTTTATGGTGTGTCGTAGCTTTCATTGGAAGTATAAAGTAATAGTTGCTTGGTGATGGCAAGGCTACTTTATATTATGCTGGTTTTTTTTTTTTTAATTTCCTTTGTACTTGTTATATTGGTGATTATAAACTGAATAAGATATTTTAGATATTGAAATAAGATATGTTTTAAACAAAATAAGATATCTGATAAATCCATTGTTTAAGATATCTTGTCTAGCTTATAAGATATCTTATCAAGATAAAAAAAATATCTATTAATGAAGTAAATAATATATATCTTGTAAACTATACAATATATCTTATAAGTAATAAAAGATATTTTTAATAAGATTTAAGACATCTTATAAACTGTATAATATACATCAGTATAAAAATGAGGAGATGTAAGATTGAAAATGAGACGTACAGCTATCTACCAGAGTTAAACTATGATCAATTGGTAGTAAGCTAATTATGTTTAAAATATATCTTAAGTGAATAATATCTTAAGAAGTTAATAATATATCATATAAAGTATATAAAATATCTTATAAAATATATAAGATATCTTATTAACTTCAGATATCTTATAACACATATAAGATATCTTATTAACTTCAGATATCTTATAAAATATATGAGATATCTTATTAACTTAAAATTATCAAATAAGATATTTCATAAAGAATACAAGATATCTTATATACTTTATAAGATATAGTATTAACTTTATAAGATATCTAATTAACTTTATAGTATATCTTATTAACTTTATAGTATATCTTATTAACTTTATAAGATATCTTATTAACTTTAAAAATTTATAAGATATAATTTTAACGTTATAAGATATCTTATTAACTTTATAAGATATCTTTTTAACTTTATAAGATATCTTATTAACTTATACGATATCTTATTAACTTTATAGGATATCTTGCAATTGAATAAATATAAATACGGCTTGCCATACATTTACAAGGTAATGAATCAGATTAAGAATGAGTGCAGTGGACTTCTTGTATTTATTAGTAGAGTTCACTCCCCTTTTATAACTCTCTAAACAAAAGTGTCAACAAATTGTTGCAAAATATTTGTTGTGTTTTCATACTCATGATACTGTTCAGCATTGTTTACGATGCCAGTGTCGTGTTCAATTTGTGATGGAAAGGCTATCCTTAAAAGACCAAAGACGGTAATCTTTTCAGTACTATAGACGATCAATTATAATAAGAAATCATTGTGAAATGTATAACTGTTTTGGGTTGGATCGACACGTGTATAATTTAAACAGTTAAATATTGTAATTTGTTACACACATAATTTAACCAGTTAACTGCCTAATGAAAGCCAAATCGAATAACTCTGAAGTATGCAGATACGATAACTAACCCTTCATCCACTATGGTCCTCTCTGGTATAAGTGTATCTTTAAATGTGATAACTTGCAGCATAATTTGTTTTGTGAATCTGGATACCTTGCATGCAGAAATAACTCAAAATTTAGTCAAAACCCATTAAAAGTTGTGTTGTCCCAAAAAAAAAAAACAATGAATATTGTTAAAAATAAGTGAATAGAATAGAGAATGGAAGCAGGGAATGTGTCAAAGAGACAACAACCCCATCAAAGAGCAGAAAACAGCACAAGGCTTCCAATGGGTCTTCAACACATCGATAAATCTATCACCCTGAGGTACTAAGAAGTTTATTTCGACATTTGTTGAAAATGATTTAATTTCTAATCTTAAATTATAATTATATTTTTATAGACATATTAACATGATTAACATGCTTTTTTAATTTGTAAATAAACATACACCTGTATACCAGAAGAAAATAAGGGAGCTTCCTTCTATCAATCCAATCAACATGATCAACAGCATAAAGTTTTGAGTAATTTGGTCATTAAAGTCTTTCTTTATATATATATGTCAGTTGATTATAAAGTTGAGAATGTAATACATAACTAGTCGATAAGTCAAACTACTAAAAGGGAAAAAGATATACATGTACACAGGGGTCGAATTTAAGCTTTTTTGTGTACTGGCCAGCCGGACCAGTGGACTGAAAAATCTACTGGTCCGGCTCCAAATCTACTGGTCCTGCAAAAATGACATTCATTTGACAAACACTAATATAAATGATAGATGTTTACTTTTATTTTCATGCTTTCTTTTACTTATGTTAGACAAGAAAAAGAGAGAGTCTTGATCCTGATTTTGATAAAGGCTTTATTTTTGATAATGTCAATGATTTTCTTTATCAAAATCAGGATCAAGGACAGAAAAAATGTCAATATTGTCTTCCACAGTCCTCACGACGACCATAGGGTGCCTGACTGGGTCGTCTGGAGCGCTGTCCAGAAATGTTCCACATTTCAATAGCCGGAACTGGATCAAATGATGCTAATTGCTATATCTTCAGTGTGAAACAATATGAATAATAGATCAACAGTTGGACGCAATCTTACTTAAAATTTGAAGATCCCGTTACAAAAATACATTTCTTATCTAGGTCTGTGACTGCAAATTTTTCACATGTTATACAATTCATTACATTGCGATTGATTATATAATTTAACCATTCACTATCTTTTTCCCAGGATTTTTTATATTTACGTTTCCTTTTGTCAATTTCATTAACTTTATTCTGATCTTCCTTTTGAATGTCACTTATTCTAATTTTGTTGTCCGGTGGTTTAACTTCTTCCAAAAATTTCCACTTTTTGTGTTGTTGTGAAGGACGCTCACCCGAGATATTTATTACCTTGATCAATTGTAATACTTAGTACCCCCAGTACCGTGTAATTGATTTCGCAGGTAAAGTTTTTTGTTAACAAACCGAGATTGCGATGCAATCAATGATTTTTATCGACAAATTTCTACTGGTCAATCTACTGGTCCAACGCAAATTCTACTGGTCTCAGACCACCAGACCAGCGCTAATTTCGACCCCTGCATGTACATGTACTTACTGTGCTACATACATGTACTTACTCTTTAAAAAATGGGTGGAGTATTCAAATCAAATTATTTAAATTATAAAGGCATTTTAATTTTTAATGCTAAATAATTAAAATGTAACATTTCCATTTCTGTTAATGCATATATGTATAGAAATACAAGTCTTTTGTTTATTTGATATAATATAACCAACATGGCAGTATAAATGAAACATCCGATCACAAATGCAGAATGTGAATCAATCTAATATCGTGCATTTACCACAGCGCAATCAAAAAATCCTGAGGAGAACACAGGGTATACCATTACTTGTCCGCACGTTGCAAGAGATTGCTTTTGTCAAATCTATTGAAACTTGTAAGGACTATCACATGACTATTATACATGTTATGATGTTAGATACATGTATGGTGAACGAAAGCTTCCTTTTGATTTTGAAATGACAGAGACGTTGACATAACACAAAGGTTTAATGGGTCAGACAAATGGACATACACTTGTACAATATATCTAATTATGCAGGAAAAATGTTTGTGTTTGGTGTGGGTATAGAGGAAGGTACACTGACCACTTATGGAAATTTAAGAGGAATCTATTAAAGTGAATATTATAAACTAACAATCCTTCTTCTGAATTTTGAGGGGCTTTGGTGGCCCAGTGGTCTTAGTAATGGTCAACTACTGTGTCACTATCCTGTCAATGCTGAGGTTGAGAGTTCCAACCCCACAAGTGGTAGGTGCGTTTGACTCTTAAATGACTAGAAATCATCTGAATGCAAGTTTTCCTACAGAAGGTCAATTGTTCCCTCCAGCACTCCATATTCTTCCACCAATAAAAACTGGCTGCCACAATCTAGCCAATAGTGCTGAAAGTGGCACTGAAAAACCAACATTGAACAATCAAACAATCTTTTTTTTAAGATTTGTATCGCCAACCTAACCTCTGAAGTTGTTAATGTATGCTTTTTATACGACCGCAAAAAAAATTTTGTGGTCGTATATTGGTATGACGTTGTCGTCGACGTCCGAAGACACATTAGTTTTCGCACTCTAACTTTAGTTTAAGTGAATGGATCTCAATGAAATTTTACCATAAGGTTCAATACCAAAAAAGGAAGGTGGGGATTGATTTTGGGGGTTATCATATGGACCCACAGTTAAGGAATTAGGGGCCAAATAGGGGTCAAAAATAAGCAATTTTGTAACTTCCAGACATAACTTGTGTGTAAGTGTATGGATCTCTCTGACATTGTACCACAAGATTCCATATCACAAAGGGAATGCTGGGATTGATTTTGGGGGTAATTGCCTCCAAATTTTAGGAATTAGGGGCCAAAAAGGGGCAAAAAACAAGCATTTTTCTAGTTTCCAGACAATAACTTGTGTGTAAGTGTATGAATCTTTATGAAATTGTACTACAAGGTTCCATATTACAAAGGGAAAGCTGGGTTTGAGTTTGGGGTTATTGCCCTAAACGTTTAGGAATTAGGGGCCAAAAAAGGGGCAAAAACAAGCATTTTTCTAGTTTCATGACAATAACTTGTGTGTAAGTGTATGAATCTTTATGAAATTGTACTACAAGGTTCCATATCACAAAGGGAAAGCTGGAATTGAGTTTGGGGGTAATTGCCCAAAAAGTTTAGGAATAAGGGGCCAAAAAGGGGCCAAAAATAAGCATTTTTCTAGTTTCCAGACAATAACTTGTGGTCAAATGTATGGATCTCTCTGAAATTATACTGCAAGGTACCATACCACAAAGGGAAGGCTGGGATTGATTTTGGGGGTAATTCCCTCAAAATTTTAGTAATAAGGGGCCATAAAAGGTTAAAAAAACAAGCATTTTTCTAGTTTCCAGACAATAACTTGTGTGTAAGTGTATGGATCTTTATGAAATTGTACTGCAAGGTTCCATATCACAAAGGGAAAGCTGGGTTTGAGTTTGGGGGTAATTGCCTTAAACGTTTAGGAACTTGGGGCCAAAAAACAAGCATTTTTCTAGTTTCCAGACAATAACTTGTGTTCAAGTGTATGGATCTCTCTGAAATTGTACTGCAAGGTACTATACCACAAAGGGAAAGCTGGGATTGAGTTGGGGGTGATGAATCATAAGGGGATTCAAAAAATTGGGGGGGGATTTTTTTTTCCTTTTTTTCTGATTTATATATATAAAAGCAAATAATAATGATATGGTTTGAATAGGTAAATTAAAAATTTTAAAGTTCTTAGACCACTTTCATTCTGTGTGAGAAACCTATGCTGTGTCAAATATTTAATCACAATCCAAATTCAGTGCTGTATCAAGCTTGAATGTTGTGTCCATACTTGCCCCAACTGTTCAGGGTTCGACCTCTGCGGTTGTATCAAGCTGCGCCCCAGCGGAGCATTTTATTTGAAAATCATACAACCTTTTCACTCCAGTTTCCAACTCATCTAAAAAAAAATTCTACACAATCAATTTGTCACTCACCGAAAAAGTAATACCCGCTTGACAAAAAATAAAAGTTGTTGAAAAAGTCCAAATCTGACAAAAATCAATTATAAAAATGGTCTTAAGTTTCATTTCTAATTTTGTGTCAGCATGTGCAATGGTGGTGTCCAGATGCCAGGATACTTCACTCAGAGTCAAACAGGACTCAAGGATATTGGTTTGGTGAGAATTTCTCAGGTTAAGTGGCAATTTTCTAACTTTTTACTCCCTGAGACTTTTCAGTTTTGAATAAGGGCAAACAATGTTGAAAAGAAGCTTGATCTGAACATGAAAAAATTACTTGGATAAAGAAATAAAATGATTATGATTAAGGAACTTCAGACAGAGCTCTATTATGCTGTCAGTATAATTCTATGTGTCCTTATTTAAACGAGATGGTAAACAAGCTTTTCAATCTGTATCATGTTTTCTAGAATAATTGATGTAAAATAAAGTTACAGATTGTTGATGGAATAATACAGCAGTCTCTACAATTGATTATGCATTTCATTGAATTTTTCTATAAATGGCCAAATTATTATGTGTTGGAAAATATTAAAGTTTTCTTTATATTTGAATTATTGTTAGACGTTAGAGGATGAACATGATGAATGAAAAAAGAGAAATCAGCTAATTCTTGAAGAGCAAAATTACACTCTTACATATTAATACATTTGTATGTTAATTATGAAGCAATCTTACAAGTATGATCTCTCCTGACTTGAGTCACTTGTGTCTCCATCATATAACTTAATTCTGATCATTC